ACACTAGCTGTTGTTATCATCCTTTTTTGCAGCAAAAGCATTATTTCCGTCAATGGTTTCTGGTGATTTCAGTTTCTGGTTTTTCCTTGTTTCCAAGTCATACGGTCAGAATACTAAACAAGACACTCTTCTTTGTGCGAGGGTAAGAAGCCGAATGAAAAATTAATTTTTCGTTCCTTTCCCGTTTTCAAAACTATTTTCGCCGCCTCAAATCAGGCACAACAGAAATCAAATTCAAGAACAGCAAATTCTGATGAAAAAAAGAAAAAGCCACAATAATGTACAATGCACCTGATGGCATAACTAAGAAGTTATGTTTACACGTCGTAGACTTACTTTTTCAGTGATGTTATTAACCAATCAAACTCAGCACTTTGTTCTTAACCGAGCTACTTGCACTTATCTGTTTCTTGCAATCAGTCTCATCACGTAAACAATTAGCACCCTGAACAGCCCATGTTTATTTTTTCAAAGCTTTACAGCTGAAAAACTAAATTTAGCAACAATCATTCTTTTCCCGCTATAAAAAAATTGATATATCTTTATGAGTAGCTGATGTGATGATAGGGAAATTTAATGATGTATGACTTTTTTATTGTTTCAAACAATCTAAACAAAAGTTTATCTTATCAGCAATTCTCCCTTTAAGCTCCTTTACATTACCTTGCTAGTCATTAGGGAGAATCTGGTATTGTATCTTATCCTCGCCACCAATTCACTGGATGAAATGTTGATATTGTAAAGAAAAGCAAAATATTCCTGACTTCTGTGACTTGAAAGTCTAAAAAATCGGTCAAAGCGCGATTAAAACCACTAAGCTCTTATCAATGATATGCGAGGAGCTCCAATATTTACTGACGATCTTACGAGCAAGTTGTAATCCAACATCCATCCTTTAGATTTTTATAATAATTATTTAAACCGATCATTTTAATATTCGATCCAGCAGTAACTCTTTGTACTCGTCTTTTCTTTGTACAGATAATTTCATATCTTACTTCGGTTTCCTAACTATCCAGATATCCTTTCTTTTCCAAAGGTGAGCGGCTTAAAGTTTATTTCAGAAATATTTAGCGCTAAAATATAGATTTGCTATATCTTAATGATAGACATAAAACCTTGTTGATCGATCTGTTTACTCTCACCACTTGATTTCTGTAAGGTATCTTGATATTGTAAGGAGAAACTACATTTCCATCATTTCTTTAAAGATATAAAATACGAAATCCCGTATGTTATTTTATATATATTATAAAATGTTCAGAGAAATACGCGCGCCGTGACTGGTCAAAACGAGTTCATTATATTTCCATAAAGCACGCGCCTTACGTCACACGAGTGCACCGTTGAAGAAATGTAAAATGGTTTCCGTGTTTACATAGCCTGATGTAAACACGCGGGAGGTTGGGAGAACACGAGATAAGCGTAGGAAAACGTAGGAAAGCGGAGTGGTTTCAAGCTTATCGAGTGTTCTCCCAACCTCCCAAGTGTTTACATCAGGCTATGTAAACACGGAAACCATTTAACATTTCTTTTATAAAATAACTAATGAAAGAGGAACGAAAACTGTGTTTACATACGCTCATGTAAAATGGTTTTATGGCCAATCAGAGCGCGCGTACTATTTGAATTATTTTATAATGAGATATAATGCACGCAGCCTACGTCAACGGTACGAGCGCGCGCACATTTTACAAACGAAGTAAAAAAGCTTGTTCCTCGAGCATTGCTGAGTTATACAAGCACTTGAGAATTTTTAAGAACACTCGAGAAGTGCGAGAAGCACTCGCCTTCGGCTCGTGCTTGTCCGCACTTCTCGAGTGTTCATAAAAAATTCCCGCGTGCTTACATAACTTAACAATGCACTCAGCGCGTTTTTTTATTTCTTTATTATAGGCAAGCTACAAAAAAATTTTCTTCCTCAGTTTTTTTTTTATGGTTTCTTCTTACCAAACGTGTGAGTAAAACGTTCTTATAATTGCTATTTGCAATAACGTTTGTTTGACAGCGAAAGTCTAATTTCACTCTCTTACTTATGTTTTTATCAGTCACACCATCGGGAGACTAAAGAAGACATTTTCTGTTTTCAAAGGTGAGATTTTTTTCCCATTTTTGGCTCTGTATTGTCAATGCTTCCTTGGTTTCATTTTCCACGAAATAAAACTGACAGTACTGTTTAACTGACTGTAAAAAACGTTCGGAAAAGTTGGTACATGAGTAACTTAAGTATTAAAACACGAGTGGAATTCTTTACCAGGGGAAAATTTCCTTTTGCCTAGAAAACAAAGCTAACGGATGATTTCCAATCGCTTTTTAGACGTTTCAGTTGCCTGTCAACGATAGATCTATATAAAGATTTTAAAAGGGAGGTTGAAAAGATTGATTAGCAATGAGTGACATGCGTAATACATTTGGTTTACTGTATCACAAACCAAGGGTTAGAACACGGACTCGGTTTCGATGCATTTCATCAGGACGGGGCTTCCGCTTAAAACAAAAGAACAAATGCGTCAAACGCCTCTCTCTATCATTTCATTTTCAATCGAATGAAATGTCTTAGATTCAATTCATGTCCATGAAATTTAGTCTGAAACGCGATGCATGAACAATATCTGCGTCACGCAATAGCTTTATCTCCTGTTATGGAAACGAGACATTTGTTAGAGGTGGAATTCAGTATCAAGACATTAAGTTCCCAGGTTCTTTTAGAGACGATTTGACGGTTCTCGATTTATTTATTTGTCAATTAAGTTGTAAAAGTGCTGTACCAAGAGAACTAACCAGAGAAACTACCGAACGTTCTGCAAGTGAGACTGATTGAGTTAACAAAAGATATTTAACTGTTTAAGTCTCTAAATATACTAAGGAAAGCCAAAAATCCCATGTCTAACAAGCTCATTGAGATCAACGGCATTTATATGTATGATTTCACGCATCTCAAAAGCGAGTTTCTGATACTGACGCGCTGGCTTTATCTGTACGGGACACAAGGTTAGAAATACCAACACATATATATTTATCTGAACATTCTGGAGACATTGAGTGGTTTCACACTTCGTTTTACAGTGGAATGTAACTTTTTTTAATTGAATTTATTTCCATCAAATATTTCTGCTACCAGACGACACAAGATCTGTGTGGCGTAGAAGAACGTCCCAAGATCAATGAAAGATGTTTTGATCTGTCTCGATTCATAATCAGATTCAAGTACAGTGGAATTTAGTGAAGAGCAAGAGATTAGAGGCAAATTAAGTCCCTGGATTTTGAAAGTCAATTTGATAGCTTTGGTATGATACTACAATGAAATACAGAAATATCAAAGACAATTGAAAGTTTTTCGTGACTGCATGAGTTATCAAAATAGATTACCAAAGTAAAGCAAGAAAACCTTCTCGCATGTTGACCATCCTGGCTGCGCGGGTAAAAAATATCAACATTGATAAAACTACCATAACCAAAATTTTATGATCTCTTGCCATAAAGTATGAAGAGAATGATTTAAAAAAATTTGAGGATACATTCAGGTAGGCAAAATATTTTTAAAAAAAGGACAAAAAAGGAAACATCTATCTCGTTTAATTTTTCTGTTGTTGAAGGTTTATGTGTACTGTATTCTTTCAAGTCATTTTCAATTCTGAATTGAAAATCTAATCCGGTAAAAATCTTTCCGATTTAAGCCGCTCACTCGGCTGGAGCGAGTGGTAGGGGGGTGCATGAGGGCGAAAAAACGGGTGAGCACAAGGGATGGGAAAGAAGAACCTAGCTCCTTCATAGTTGTAAGTGCCCCTAAGGCACGGGTTTATCCCTTGTTTTGATTTAGTAATCGTTTAATTAATAATCTGTAAAAGTCACACTAGGTGCCTCGTCACGCGTTCCGTAAGTGGTATCGCATTTCCAAACAGAACGGATCTATTGTGCAATTCAATAATTCGATCGATTTCGCAAGCACTCGTGGTTTAATAGAAAGAAATTGTCTGTCGTTTTTATCGAAGGAAGGAAAGGTCTTTTTTGTGTCAACTCTCGCCAGATCCGGCAACAATGTAAGTTTAATTTACCTCGAGTGTTTCTATAGCTAATTTCTTGTCCCTAATTTTGTGAATCAATTATTTTTAGCTTCACGGTCAAATACGACATTTAATAAAGGAGGCGTTTAACAGAAAGAAATTGGGGTGATATTTGTTGTGTCGATCAGTGAGATTCGTACGGTCCAGCTAGCGGCGATCAAGCGTCGCTATAATAGTCCTACAAAAAAAATTCAGCCACTTACCGTCTACCAAGAAAGAAAGGACAGCTTGCGCTTTCATCTTCCCTCCTGATAGAAATCAGGAGGGAAAAGTCAAAATTGTTCTTCACAACCAAAACGTATCAATAACATAAATGCCATCTGTTGAATTTAGAAGTCCGAGGAAATCTTCTTCCTAAGCAAAAAGCATTATTCAGGAAAGTTCTTTCACCTATCAGGCAGATAAAGCGAGTTGCAGAGGTCAGTGTGAATGACATGAATACACGCGCGAGACGCGTCGTGTAGAACACACTCCCACTAAAATGGTCCTGTTTTATTCACAATGTCTTCCCAGTAGAAGTTCCAAAAATGATAATGTTGATGTAGATTCAACATATTTAATGTCGTTTAATTTGTTACACAAACACCAATTTAACAATGCTTTGAGTTGAATTTAAATTTTAACGGCTAAGGTTGCTAATTTTGATTCACCCTCTAAAGAATGCAAGTGGAAGTCACTTTCAAACAGAAAACTGCGACCAGATTCAGTTCTAATTAATTGTGTGGCATGTAAAAAGTAAATAATCAGTGAGTTGAACGCCAGCATAGCACGATCAATGGATTAACCAACGATCAATTGGTTAAAAAAATTGATAGAGCTTGTCTTGAATTAAACAAGAAAGACAAGAGGCGCTCATGCATCTATAGAAAGTCTTAGTTTTTGTTGATCCTTTTCTCACGTTTGGAGAAATTCTTTTAACATTCAGGACATGACGTAATGAATAACGCAGCAGAAATCCTAAAGTCAGTCCAGATTGGTTTGGATGTCGCCACATTTCTCCTTAACACTGATCGTGGCCTACAAGCGACCGAGTTATGTAATGAATGTTTATCTCTACTTCACAAGCTTGACTCTGGTATTAACCTTGATCATGATATCTCTGATGTATTATTCAATTCGTACTACGCCACGTCTGGTTACACAAATGCAGCACGATACACCACAAAACTTATTGAAAAGTTTTTCCTCGCTGGAAAACTAACCATACAACTGGGAGACAAATACGAGGCAAAATATTGGTTTGCAGAGGCAAAGCAACTTTGTAAAAGCGCTCTTACCATCATGAAAGCGATTGGCCACCGTAGAGGAGAGGTAGTGGCTTACGCGAGACTTGGATCTCTTTGTTTTATCCTCAGCGAGTATCTAAAGGCGAAAGAATATTGTGAGAAAGCAATTGCCATCGCAATAGAAATCGGCGACAGAAATGGAGAAGGAAGAACATACGGGAACCTCGGAGGTGTGTTTAAATCCCTTGGCGAATATCAGAAGGCCAAAGAATATTACGAGAAAGCAATTGCCATCGCGATAGAAATCGGCGACAGAAATGGAGAAGGAAGAACATACGGGAACCTCGGAGGTGTGTTTGAATCCCTTGGCGAATATCAGAAGGCCAAAGAATATTACAAGAATGCAATTGCCATCGCGATAGAAATCGGCGACAGAAATGAAGAAGGAACAACATACGGGAACCTCGGAGGTGTGTTTCAATCCCTTAGCGAATATCAGAAGGCCAAAGAATATTACGAGAATGCAATTGCCATCGCGATAGAAATCGGCAACAGAAATGGAGAAGGAAGAACATACGGGAAACTCGGAACTGTGTTTCAATCCCTTAGCGAATATCAGAGGGCCAAAGAATATTACGAGAAAGCAATTGCCATCGCGATAGAAATCGGCGACAAAATTGGAGAAGGAAGAACATACGGGAGCCTCGGAGCTGTGTTTCAATCCCTTGGCGAATATCAGAAGGCCAAAGAATATTACAAGAATGCAATTGCCATCGCGATAGAAATCGGCGACAGAAATGGAGAAGGAAGAACATACGGGAACCTCGGAGATGTGTTTAAATCCCTTGGCGAATATCAGAAGGCCAAAGAATATTACGAGAAAGCAATTGCCATCACGATAGAAATCGGCAACAGAAATGGAGAAGGAAGAACATACGGGAACCTCGGAGCTGTGTTTGAATCCCTTAGCGAATATCAGAAGGCCAAAGAATATTACGAGAAAGCAATTGCCATCGCGCTGGAAATCGGCGACAGAAATGGAGAAGGAGCAACATACAGGAACCTCGGAGATGTGTTTCAATCCCTTGGCGAATATCAGAAGGCCAAAGAATATTACAAGAAAGCAATTGCCACCGCGATAGAAATCGGCGACAGAAATGGAGAAGGAACAACATACGGGAACCTCGGAGGTGTGTTTAAATCCCTTGGCGAATATCAGAAGGCCAAAGAATATTACGAGAATGCAATTGCCATCGCGATAGAAATCGGCGACAGAAATGGAGAAGGAACAACATACGGGAACCTCGGAGCTGTGTTTCAATCCCTTGGCGAATATCAGAAGGCCAAAGAATATTCCGAGAAGGCAATTGCCATCGCGATATGTGACGATAAGGTTTTCGCCCAAACTGGAGGACTGAATCTTCGCGGACGGCACAATAACAACTGGGGGGAATAACTCTGTAGAGACGACTCGGCAGCGAGAACGGAAACTCGTCACGATTTCCTGGTACACGGAGATCTGCTTCGAGCGAGCTTATACGGACGTCAAGGATAAGACAATCTTTGGTTCCACAGTACTTTTATTCTAGGTCAGGCCAACAAGCGACATGACCTCTAGCATACTCTCGTTTGTAATCATCAAAGCTGTACAAGGTACTTGCTTAAGAAGTAACTGGTGCGAAGTGCTATTGTTACACGAATCGCAATATTTGGACAAGGACACAAAGGAGCGGAAAAAAGTCTCTTTGAAGCTAAACAAAAAACTACTTAAATATTCCATCTGTTTCCACGACGGAAAGAATCTCAAAATTAAAAAGACGGATGCAATAAACTTTAGGCCATTAAAGTAGGAAACCTAGGTGCGAATTTTACAGCTCTGATATAGAAAACAATACCTATCTTAATTGCAGCAGCGCAGCTTAGGAAATAGAAAACGGAAAAGCAATTAAAAGTTTCTGCTTATTTATACAAGATTGGTTTGGAAACCATTGCATGAAAAGAAATTAGATTTACGCGTATAAACTCAGCTGCTATCTACCATGAAAACCAATGTTTCCAGAAAGACCATTAACACTTATATTTACCTAAAAAACCCATGTACTAGATGACAAAAGTGCCGACAAGCAGGTGCATAGTAAAAGCGAGTAATCGATAAAAATCTATTCTAAAAGCCACTGTGGTTTTTTTATGCATATTTTTGATTTATTGAAATGAAAGGACTTGAAATGGTTAAATGTAAAAGTTTACGAATAAATATGCTCCGAATAACACACACGGGAAAATCAGTAAATTTTCCCGTAACAGATAGAAATAGGCGACAGAAATGGAGAAGGAACAACATACAGGAAACTCGGAGATGTGTTTCAATCCCTTGGCGAATATCAGAAGGCCAAGGAATATTACAAAAAAGCAATTGCCATCGCGATAGAAATCGGGGACAGAAATGGAGAAGGAACAACATACGGGAGCCTCGGAGCTGTGTTTCAATCCCTTGGCGAATATCAAAAGGCCAAAGAATATTACAAGAAAGCAATTGCCATCGCGATAGACATCGGCGACAGAAATGGAGAAGGAGCAACATACGGGAACCTCGGAGCTGTGTTTCAATCCCTTAGCGAATATCAGAAGGCCAAAGAATATCACGAGAAAGCAATTGCCATCGCGATAGAAATCGGCGACAGAAATGGAGAAGGAAGAACATACGGGAACCTCGGAGGTGTGTTTCAATCCCTTGGTGAATATCAAAAGGCCAAAGAATATTACAAGAAAGCAATTGCCATCGCGATAGACATCGGCTACAGAAATGGAGAAGGAGCAACATACGGGAACCTCGGAACTGTGTTTCAATCCCTTGGCGAATATCAGAAGGCCAAAGAATATTACAAGAAAGCAATTGCCATCGCGATAGAAATCGGCGACAGAAATGGAGAAGGAACAACATACGGGAACCTCGGAGCTGTGTTTGAATCCCTTGGCGAATATATGAAGGCCAAAGAATATTACGAGAAAGCAATTGCCATCGCGATAGAAATCGGCGACAGAAATGGAGAAGGAACAACATACGGGAACCTCGGAGGTGTGTTTAAATCCCTTGGCGAATATCAGAAGGCCAAAGAATATTACGAGAAATCACTTGCCATCGCAAAAGAAATAGGAGACAGAGAAAAGGAATGTGCAGGATACTTAGCCCTTGGAGACGTTTACCGCAGGCTTAGGAAATATCGTCAAGCTAAAGAATATTTCGACAAAGCACTCAGCATCAATACAGCAATTGGACAAAGAATAATTGAAGGATGCGCTTCCATAGGTTTGGCAGCAGTGTTCGCTTTTATCAATGACAATCAGAAAGCAAAAGAACATTCTCAGAAGGCGCTCACCATCAGCAAGGAATGTGGCAATAAAGCTATGGAAGGACGAAGTTACCTCAACCTCGGAAATCTATCTCGATCGCTTGGTGAATGCGACGAGGCAGAAGATTACTTAGAGAAAGCTCGCTACATAAGCAGTAGAATTGGAGACAGACTGACTGAGTTTAAAAGCCTTCTCAGCATCACACAGTTAAAGGTATCGCAATCACAGGTTATGGAGGCAAAGGAACATCTCCTTCAATGTATTGGAAAATATGAACAATTGAGGAGTTTTCTTAAAGGAAATAAAGAGTTTGAAATATCTCTGTTAGAAGAGCACGGTCGTTTTCCTTATCACTTGCTCACTAGCTTGCTTTGCAGTACTGGCAAATTTCAAGACGCTCTTTATGTCGAGGAGCTGAGACGAGCGAGAGTCCTCGTAGAATGCATGGCAGAGAAGTTCTCCGTTGAAAGCCACATCTCAGCTGATCCACAATCATGGTTCGGGATTGAAAACATTGTGAAGAATGAGAGTAACTGTGTCTTTTTGTACATATTGTATGCTAGGCGGCAAGTTTGTCTCTGGGTTTTGAAAGCAAATGGAGACATTTCCTTTCGAGTCACCGACCAAGTCAAAGACAGCACTCTCATTCCTGAGAAAGTTTGCAACGTGGAGGGAATTTTCAAAAAGAGCGCCGCCAGCTTTGGCGTTTTATTCACAGCGAATTGCGAAGATCGATCTTTGGATGGCAACGTAACGACATCTCTTTTTGAAGAGAGCCGAGCAACTTTGCGCGGTGACGAAAGCAAAGAAACCGAAAGAATTCATCATTTGTGTTACAAATGGATCATCGCTCCTGTGGTAGATTTACTTACAGAGCCTGAAATCATCATTGTGCCGTATCGTTTCTCGTATCGAGTCCCATTTGCTGCCTTGCGTGATGGAGCAGCCGGAAAGTATCTATCAGAGACTTACAGAATCCGTATCATCCCTTCCCTAACGACCCTCCGCCTCATTCAAGATTGTCCAGCGGATTATCACAGTGAAACTGGTGCACTTGTAGTGGGTGATCCTACGGTTGGCCAGGTGTATTACAATGGACGTGTCGCTAACTTTGTACCATTGTCCTGTGCTAGAGAGGAAGCAGAGATGGTTGGTCGACTGTTGGGAGTTCAGCCTTTGTTGGGAGAGTCTGCAACTAAGCAGGCAGTGCTTCAAGCGATACCTTCAGTGAGTCTCATACATGTTGCCGCACATGGAAATGCCGAAAGAGGAGAGATTGCCCTGTCGCCTAAATGTCCTAAATGTACCACCAACAGTTTTCCACAAGAAGAAGACTACCTCTTGACAATGTCCGACATTTTCGGAGCTCAAGTGCGAGCAAAACTGGTTGTATTGAGCTGTTGTCACAGTGCGCGTGGATTGGTCAAAGCCGAAGGAGTTCTTGGAATCGCTCGTGCATTCTTAGCATCCGGTGCACGTTCAGTGTTGGTAGCATCGTGGGCCATAGAAGACGAAGCAACGGAGCAGCTCATGAATCAGTTCTACAAGCACCTTGTTCGTGGAGAAAGTGCCAGTGAATCTCTTCACCAGGCCGAAAAATGGTTGAGAAGCAACGGCTTTCCCAAACCTAATCAATGGGCTCCATTTGTGCTAATGGGAGACAACGTGACGTTGGATTTTACATACATCGGGTAGGTCTAGTTCTGATAACAAATTTCCATAAGCTACCTTACGTTACCCAACATTAGCTATCTTAGGGACTGTTCAGCAGCCGGGGGGGGGTTGGGTGCTGCTCGAGGATTTTGGTTGTCTCCCAGTAAAATTCACCTGATCCCCTGTAAGGCTCCATAATATTCTTTAGACCCCCCCCTCCCCCACAGAACCAGAAGATTTTGATGAATCATTTTCAAAATTGGCCTTTAATCAAAGTTGCTTTAGTGTGCAAAATCTTCAGAAATTATTCTTCAAACGGAAGCCCAAGAGGATGATGGACAAGCCAAAGTAAATGCAATGAAAGCAACTTGAGAGATATAAGCTACCTAATGACTTTGAAGTTGATAGCTATTTGAGCTGTGTGTCTAGCTACTTTGAATCTTTTAGAAATTCTGATCCATATAATGCTTTAGAATTGAAATTGTATTATGTTTGTTTCAGGAAAGAGGAACACAAGGAGGAAAACAATGAGGCAGAGAAGAAACAGAGTAACAACTGATCCTGCACAAAGATTATCTTTCCTGCACATTGTTTTTGAATGGACACTGGTATTAGTTTGAACAGACATTTTTCATTTTATTGTAGATAAATGGTTATTTTTGAATGCTCTTGCAAATAAGGCTGAATCGAAAGCTAGTGACACTGAAAGCTGCATTTCAGCCCTCAGACCTATTAAGGGGACTAAAATGAATCAGCATGAAAAAATTGAAAGCGTGAAATTAACTAAACGTTTACTAATATGAGAACTTTGGTAAAGTTTCCTTTGGATCGCAATCAGAAAACACCAAAACTAAACTCTAACTTGTTTTGTGAGTTGTTAGGTAAAAAAAAACAGGAGAAAATTGCATTGCACAAAATATTACTGCCAAAGTCAAACTGAGGAGTAAAAACAATTCCTAAGATATCAATGAAACAATCTCCCAGAATTCAGAGCAGAAAGATAACTGATATTATCAAAAAGATAGTTGGAATACTGTAGGAAAACAAAATCACAAACCAGGAATGCATGGCTTTGTTGAGTATGATGATGCACAAGTGGCAGTTTTCTATGTATTTTTTCCTTTACCTCGGGGGGTTTGGTGGGGAGGTCAGTATTGTCATATTTTAATCTTTTAGAACTTTCAGGAAAAGGTAAATGCTAAAGAAATTGTTGATATGATAATTTTTCATCAAAAGGATCTGTTAGGAAAAGTATAATTAGTGATGAGATTTTGTTACTGATGGCAGACTTTTGTTCCCAATCATCAGTGGGCACTAAAAACTTAGTGATTCTTAGGAGGCCTACTTATTCTTTGGCCAACTTGAAAGTTTTTGTTCCTGTGATCACTACACATTTTTCTCTTATTTGAAGTACTTTTGCATTTCTTATTTTTCTCTGATTTTTCAGTTTTGTTAATTAAGTGAAATTTATTATTTTACTAAAATAAGTGTAAATAAATACAACTGAGAATTGGATTGGACTGTTGGAGTTAATTCCCAGATTTATTTTGCAACCTTAGACTTGGTCTGACAAAATACACTAAACAATTGTTTTCGGCAGAGTTTATCCACAAGTTCACAATCCTGTCACATTGATTTTTTTTTTCAGTACCTCTTTTGGTGTTTTAGCCTTCATTAATCTTTCCTTGTGTTTTGCCTCTCATTATCATTTTTACATTGACTCAAAGCCAACTGTATTCAACAGCTCAGAAACTTCATCACCAAACTACCCCTGTTTTGGAATGACCATATTGAATTTTGATGTAGTATGGGGGCTGAAGGGCAAGAGTCTATGGAGAGAGATTTGATTTGTGCTAAGGACTGTGTGCCATTTGAAAGTGAAATGATGGTGAAGGGGGGGGGGGAAGGGAGAGGGAGAGAGAGACAAGCCATAGTTCCTCCACCCTCCCTCCTCTAGGTTTTCCTTAGGTTCTCCTATCCCTGATGCTCCTCCTTATGTCACTTCATACCAGCCAACTTTCACAATTCATTTTCCACACTGAACCATTTAGCTACCAAAAGTGATGAAAATGCAACTTTCCCTGAAAACATAAGTGCATTGTTGAATAAACAAGTAATGAGAATTAAGTTCATCAGCTTAGAGGAGGTAGATTCCATCATCCTTTTAGCTGACATCCCAGGAAATGAACAACTACAAGGTCAAGATAATTCTAAATCCTTTAACCCTTTAACTCCCACGAGTGACCAAGACAGAATTTCTCCTTATAATATCAACACAATATCAACCAGATAAGTGAGGAGATTAAAGAAAAATATCAATTTGGAAATAATTATTTGATCCAATACTAAATTGTCTGAACTAACATTATAGGAATTGTATGGTTGACATTAAGGAGAATTAGAAATTTGATCTGGGAGTTAAAGAGTTTAGGTTACTTCCCAGCTTCACTGGTGTCTTTTGGGAAAAAATTTTGTACTCGTGCTAGTTTAACCAAAATCATAGGAAACCATATATCAGAGGAAAGCTTAATAAATGCAGATTACTATAAAAATATAACTTAAGCAACTTTTCTTTGAGGAAGTGTCAGAAGCCAGTAAGGCATAAAGCAACCAAAGGTTCTTCTATTGAATTTATCAGGCATTGGGTGCTGCTGCATGAGCAAATTGGCTGCAGTCTCATTCACAAGGCATCAATCAACAAGAGTGTGTCTGGCTTTTTCGATATTCTGATTGGTTGAGTTGATATCAGGATCTAAAGTTAGACTAGCTAAAAATATTTGAGACATGTTGCGTAAATGGACTCCAAGACAAATATTTCAAATATCAAAATTTCTCAACACACTTTCCTTTGTCATTATTCCTAGGATGCTTTGGGGAAATTTGATGAAAATCGATCAAATCTATACATCCTATAAATTTGCTCAAAGTTGTTGTATTCCTCCCTATATCAAACATGAGATTTTAGCTCCTAAAGGTTCACAAACAACTTGTGCCATGCCAGGAGATTATCTCACTTCCTGAAACTGCACACCAATAGGACAAAGGGACCTCCTGGGATCAATGATGGTGGATCAAGATTTCCCGCAAAAAGTAACCCATTGTCTCTGAAGGTGGGAAGTAACCTTAACTCCCAGAAGTAACTAACATGTGACTTCTCCCTATAATATCCATATATTACTTGGCAAAAAGGTAATAAGAATACTCAGGTAGAAGTTGTTATCTTGATCTAACATCAAATTCTCATAACTAACTTACAAAGAAATGTGTAGCAGCTTGAGGAGAGAATTAGCAATTAGATCTTAGGAGTTGAAGGGTTAACTAACATATCAGAAAATAGATTGCTTGGCTGTAATTGTAATAAGCTGTAATTGAGTAAGTTAAGTTTTTGAATGAGTTCTATATCTTAAGAGTGTGAACTCTAGGAGAAGGTGAAAATTTAAAGATCTAAACAAAATGGAGGATTATTTATATCACCACTAAGTTGAAATCTTGTTCACTTGCTTGCAAGGGCATAAAAAAAATATAAAGCAAGTTCAGTTTAATATGAAGAAGGATGTTTTTTGTCGCATCACAAGTAGGGGACAAAACAATTCTGATGGGGAATCAAATCTTAGACTTTCTGAATCAACCCCACAATTGGACACTGAGCCACAGAGACTCTCTCTTGACGAAGGCCGTTACAAGGTTCATGTGTCATGGTAGGTTGTTTACACTTTGTTACTGGATACAAAGCCATCTTTAAGTCCACAAACTACACCACACTTTTCCACATATGTTTTCTGCTCTGTTCTGGAATTGTTCCTTTTCAGCCAATATGCTTGTCTCACACTTGACTCATATCAACTTTACTGGATTCATGAGACATCTTGCCTTAAGTCTCTCTTCTGACTGTTTCTGTGAGAAAACAACAACGAGTAAGTCAATATGTATCATTTTAATGCAAAGTGGTCCTACATTTAAGCAATTTAAGCACTTTAAGCAATTTAAGCAATTTAAGCACTTTAAGCAATTTAAGCACTTTAAGCAATTTAAGCAAACTAGCAAGAATAGATGGATGAGATATTCTGAGGAAGCAGATGTCCAAGGAAGTTGTAGATTGTGAAGGGGAAATGTAAACAGGAACGAATTCCATCCCCCTGACCATCTAATTAAAAGGTAGAACAAACACTAACTCTGACAATGCTAAATTGCTCATGTGCAAAGGAAAGAAACCTTAGTGAAGTTTACAAAATAACCTACTGCCGTAACACTGACTTATTAAGATTTCCAAACTGCTTAAATTTCCATCAGAGATAAAAAAAAATTGAATTATTTCCCCCTACATGTTTCCCCAACAAATTTATTCAAACGAATACTATCATACCTATAAAGGACACCAGCCATAATAGAGAGAAGAAAATTTGTTATCCTCTTAGTCAGTAATTAGTGCATCATCAACCACAGCCTTGACCCATTCCACAAATACTGTACAGAACATCTTCAGCCTGACTGGAAAAGAACCCAATTTGGTTGTTGAAAAGGTCATTTCTGTAGATTTACATAAATTTTATTGCTACACAAGTGGTAAGTTGAAGACAATTGTTACAACATACATGACAACAACATAAAAATATTATTATCATAGTTATATTATCATCAAAAATAGTCCACCAAAGTAATTTGCCTATTTGATATTGCATCTGGAATTTTTATTTATTTATTTTGCTTGTAGGCCTGCAATGCATCGGGAAACAACACTGAATGAAGAACATCTGTTCTGTCAAGGAAATAAACCATCAATTTTTTTCTTTCTGAAGAAATAAAAATATGGAGACATAACAATAATCACAGTGAATGCAACTGAGGATTTCTAAACTATATCACATATTCTGTTGATGGCTGCAGAACAGTGAAAGAGTTTTTTTTTTCTCATAAAAGACAGTCTAAGCCTGAAAATATAAGGCAGGAACTTATATCAAAATTGCAGTTAGCACTTTTGGCACTTAGAGAATTATTGTTATTATTGCTATTATTACATGTATTCTTGTCATTATTTAAAAAAGTAAACAATAGGCTTGCAATGCATTGGGAAACCAAAAAATCTATCTCACGGCTTATTTGTGATTGTTAAGGGACACTGTAAGCACTCCAACATAGGTCTGCAGTGCATACCTGTGTTGCTTTTCATTCACAACAAGGGGTTTTCTCTCTGACAAATCACTAAGACCAACAAATGGATGAAACACAAAACCTCTCTGAGATTTTAAGAGAAAAGAAATGTCTCTAAGTGTAATGAAGACCCCTATACATTTCACCCTTTAACTCTCATGGCAATCACGACAGAATTTCTAATTATAATATCAAAACAATATCAAGGAGACAAGTGATGAGAACAAAGAGAATAAAAAAGATCATCATCTTCATTATAATAATAATAATAATAATAATAATTATAATAATAATAATTATAATAAGCTTTATTTCAACTGATAAGACTAATCAGCAATCTAATAGATTGGCTGGTATGAACTAGTGATCAGCATGATAAATAGTATCAATCAAAATCAAAGGAGAAACCCTATAAAGAACTAAAGTATGAATTAAAATAACATAAAATATATAGAAAAGCTAATACTTATTTTAAACTACATAAATGATTAAATTTATCGTGTTCTAAAAAATATTCAAAAACTATCGCCTTAAATTTAGATAAAGACTGTATCTCTCGAATGTCCTTTGGTAAAAGATTCCACTCCCTAGCAGCAGTACATTTAAATGACCTTTGACCCATTTTGGTCTTTGTAGCAACAATGTTCAATAAGGTAGATAGATCAGACTTTGTCTATTTCATCGAGAGATTTATTCTAGAAAGGCGAGCATCCTCGTAAGAGAATGATAGAAACATGTGCAAAGTACAGCTTGTTACAAGTGGCTCGCGCCAGGCACCTATCGGGCAAATCATAACTAGTGTCCAGATCTCTCATCTAATGTTGCGTTGTGCTCTATCTCTCCCCAAGTCTTTAGTGTTCCTCATGCTTGCATATGGGGCATAGTGAAGACTGATAAGAACACAAATGTTAATTTGAATTAAAGAACAAAACTAAATATGGAATAGTGTCATTTGACTGTCTCATAGATCTAATGACTAAGTCACTGTTCCAATAGTCCTTTGGAGTTAAAGTCCCGTAGCCGACGCAGGGCTAAGGGAGGTTTCTTTGGTCGTTCTGGGGGTTTCGGCGGGCTTGACGGCGCCAGTGGATCTGCTTGGGGGCTGGACGCGTGCGTTCGTGGAGTTGCTGTCGAGGGGTGCTCAGGAGATGGGGAAGGTGTTTGGTTGCTAAGTTGTATCTGTGGTGCATTTGGCTTTGGGCTGGGGCTGTGGTGGTCAGGTGTCACTGCTGCCGGGGTTGGCCCAGTTAGTGGCTGTGCAGGGGATGGTTGCGGGGCATCCTTGCTTGTGCTGGGGTGGGGGCGATTGGCTTGGGCGGTCTGTGTGGCAGCATAGCAAGATGACGCAGGTCGTCATCAATTGTTAGGTGGGGCGGTGTGGTCCGTACCGGGAGGTATTTCTTAAGAACTTGCGGTTGCGGGTAGTCATCCTCCCTGAGCCATCGATGCGGATGACATACTGGTCGAATTGGCGAACCTCGACCACGACTCCTGTCTTATCCCACTTAGTGGGGTAGGGGCCTGTTTGGTTCTGGATGCGAACATGGTTACCAACGGCCAGGGGTGGGAGTCGCTTGGTGTGCTCAGACCATCTCTCTGCAGCTTTCATGTGGCGGTTTCTTAGTGCTGCCTCTCTTGTCGCGAGGGTGTCACGCCAGGTAGGGTGTGGTTGGTAGCGACCAGGTAAGATAGGTATGAAGTCCTTGATTGGCCTGCCGAAGACACATTGTGCAGGGGATAGCTGAGTATTCGGGTCGGGTGTGTTTCGATATTGAAGGACTGCACGCTGGAAGGAGTCAGTATCTAGGCTACCAGATGGGGTGGTGTTGTCAGTGATGAACCGTTTGACTGATTTGACGCCAATCTCTGCCCTGCAATTTGAGTGTGGGAATGCCACTGACGACAGACGGTGGTGTATGCCCCAGTCTTTCAGGAATTGGCGTGTGGCTGTTGCTGTGAATTCAGGGCCGCCATCTGTTGCGAGTTCGTCTGGGATGCCGAATGTGGCAAAGGTTCGTCGTAGACAGTCAATCAGGCCTGTAGATCCCTCTCTTGCTCGCTCAACGATGGGCCAGTTGGAGTAGCGGTCTACGATAACAAGGTAGGTAACCCCTTTGTAGTGAAAGAAGTCGGCGCAAACACATTGGAACGGGTAGGCTGGGGGTACAACTGGAGAGGGCGGTGAACTCGGTTGAGAGGGTGCCATGCGGTTGCAGTGGTTGCAGGTTTCCCGTAGGGCAATGATGGCTGGGGTGATGCCTGGCCAGAACACTGTGCTTTCGGCGCGTGCTGTCATGGAAGTCACACCTTGGTGGGCTGAGTGCAAGACAGTCAGAATATGCTGGCGGAGAGAGGGTGGTATCACGATGCGATTCTTGTAGAGGATGATGCCATCAACTGTATAGAGGTGTTCGCGAAATTGATGGTACTCCCGAAGGGCAGGTGGTAGCTCGTTACGGGATTTAGGGAATCCAGTCTCGATAAGATGAATTAGCTGGGTCATTGCCCTGCTGCTTGTTGTGGCCAGCTTGACCCTATCCCATGTGACGGCAATAGTGTTTAATGCCGATGAGGCTGATGAGGCTAGCTGGTCGTCAATGGTGATGGAGCAAGTGCCCGGTTGTGGTTCGGTGTGGCGGATGCCGGCCAAGGAGGAGCGTCCGGAGTTATCTAATTGCGGGAGAGCGGCCAGGGTTGCGGTTGCCGTGGCTATGTCGTCTGGCAAGACTAGCAGGTCTGGTTTGGTGGTTCCCGTAGGATGGCGGGATACAGCATCGGCAGCTTTGTGTCGCACGCCAGGGATGTGTACCATTCGGAACCGGTAACGTAAGCTTTTTCTCCTTGAGGTTGCGGAGCCGGGCGTTGGTGATATCTTCAAGGGATCGGTCTCCAAACACTTTTTTAGGAGGGCTTGTGGTCGACAGCAATGATCAGGTTACTGCAACCCAGGACAAAAAATCGTGCTTTGTCAAGCGCGTCGGCAACGGCTGGGGCTTCGCCCTCTACTGGGGGCATAGCGTGATTCAGCGGCGTGTGTGAAACGGCTCCCAACCAAAGTGATCTTCCAGCCTGTACGACAACAGAAGGGTTCGGGGATGGGCACTGGCAGTGTTTCTGGAACAGCCAGAATCCGATGCCGCTTTTGGACCAGTCGGTTGCCAGGCAGGTTGGTTTAGATTTGTCAAAGATACGCACACCCTCTTCGATTTCACTGATAATCACTGATTTGGATTCTTCAAAGAGTGTGTGCAGTTCGTCGGTCCATTGGAAATGGGTGCCGGGCTGGAGGAGCTGGCGGAATGGCAACATGCGCTCAGTCGCTGCGAAGGCATAGGAGACCTGGTTGATCAGGCCAAACCAGGAGCGGACATCCGTGATGTTGGCTGGGATTGGAAAGTTGCGGATGGCATCGAGGTATTGTTTGCATGGCCGCACACAGCTTGGGGTGATCTCAAATCCTGCGAATTCGACAGTGTCGGCTCCGAAGACGAACTTGTCTGGGTTAAGTATGATACCATTGTGTCCGCAGAGGTTGAGCCAGTCAACCGCCTGGAAGAAACTTTGGTCAAGGTTGTCTGCCCAGAGAAGGGTGTCGTCGATGCATTTGGTCTTGTTAGGAACGTGGGACACGATCTCATCAAACCGTCTTGAGTAGCCGTCGCCAGAAGCTATGTAGCCTTGAGGTGCTGTTTTATAGCGGTAGCGACCCCATGGAGTGATGAAGGTGGTGAGGTGTCGATCGTCCTCATGGAGGGGAACGCTGTGGTAACCATTCCAACAGTCAAACACGGTCTTTTTGGTGTTGCTTGGGATTGAACGTGCCTGGTGGAAGGGGCTTTGCGTGTGGTGGGTTTCACGTGTCGCGTGGAGGTTGAGCGCCTGGAAATCGACTGTGCGGCGGGGCTTGCCATTCTTTTTAGCACATACAACCATGCGGTGGCACCAGGTGACGGGTTCTCCTACTGGCACTGGTTCGAGGACACCCAGTGAGACGTCCTGGTCGAGTCCTGCCTTGACCTCCTCTTGCCAGTGAAGTGGCACTGGTATGGGGTTGTGGTGTGCGACTGGTTTTGCTTGGGGTCAACCATTAGCCTCATAGGGATGCTCTCCATTAGGGGTAGCGGCTGGTGCTCGCATGTATTGAAGGTGCTGGTTCGGTAGTAGTCCAGCAGCCACTGTTGCATCTTCATCCGACTGTTCTCTGTTGCTGGGAAAGGGGTGGTTGTGGGCTTCGGTGGCGGTGTGATGCGACGCGGGCAGGTGCATGGGGGGCTGTCTGAGCCCTCAGAAGTTTGCATATCTCTGTCTGACGGGGTTGGTGCAGTTGCATTGCAGGCTCGATTGAGCTGCATGTGTTTAGGGTCTCCCCCAACATGGGGAAGTTCTTAGTGATAATGCCCAGTGCCATGCATGTCTCTCGGCTGAGGAAAAGTTTGTCTGAGTCGCTTGTCACGTATACGATCTGTCGGCTTTCCAGGGCTTTTCCGGATGGAGACCTGCCCGAGAACCTTAAGATGACTGCGCCCAGGATGCTGATCCCTTTGTTGTTCACAGCGTGCATTTTCATAGTGACGGGTATCAGGTCACTCTCACAGAGGCCCAGGCGACGGATGACTTTTATGCTAGCCAAGCAGCTCTGGCAGCCTGTGTCAGCCATAGCAGAGAGTTGTGCTGTTGCCAACTGTGATTTGGGTGGGTTGTATCCAAGGGTTGTGTAGTCTTCAGGATGGGCTGTCGCTGTAAGCGTTATGAACGGTTGAGGCTTGGATGGCTGTCGAACCCAGTGATCGGTTAGGTGGCAGTAGAGGTGGTGGTCGAGTGAGATGACTCCTTTGCTTGGCCTGCTGAGGCTAGTTGTGGTGCAAAGTGAGTCAAAAATTGCGCTTTCCGTTTCTCTGCTCTTGCCAATGGGTGTCGGCGGCTGTTGGGGCCTGTTGCTTTTGCCCCTGCTGCGGCAAACGCTGGCAAAGTGGTTTTGCCGTCCACACTTGTCGCAGATGGTGCCATAAGCTGGGCAGTCATGACGGCGGATTCTGGTCGGCGCGCTCTTGCCATGCCCCTCTCTTGTTGCAATAAGAGCACAGTTCGTTCGCGTCCCCATCCTTACGTTGCTTGACCTCATCATTTTTGGCACGACGATACTGACTTTGTGCGGCGTCTGTACTGTGGCTTTGTGACAGGCGGCCTGCTGACCGTTTGCCGGCCTCTTTTGCCTCAATGAATTGGAACACCTCCTCAAGGCTCATGTCTTGGTTTCGTTCCCCCAACAGGTCTAATTGGATTTCGCTGTCAGCCAGGCCACGTGTGAGGACATCGCGAAGGACGTTTTCCGTATAGTTGACCTCTATGTTGCAGCCAGGGCAAGTGACTAAAAACTTGCAAACACCAGCTTGGCCGCGAAGGCGGGCACCAAAACTACGGATCGTCTCATCCCGGTCTTGCCGCATGTTGTGTAGCTGCACACGGGCGACCATTGCGTTCTCCTCCCGTACTGCAAGCTTTTTTATGGCTGCCATGACCTCATCTGCGGTTTTGTCGGTGAGGGAACCGCCCGCGTTTCTTGTCAGGTCTTTGCGAAGTTGTTCATCGCAGCACTCGAGGAGCTGGATTACCTTTTCTTTGCCGGTGACATTAGTTGCCGCAACATAATCGCCCCAACGCGTTAGAAAATACGACCAATCCTCACTCGATCCCGCTGCCGAAATTGTCGGACGGCGTACTCTTTCGAGTTTCGTGCTACTGTTGGGGTTGATCGTGTTCACTGTTCCTGGAGTGACATGTACTCCCGAAGAGTGCACTGATAGAAGGACGGCCGCGAGCGCGTCTGTAACTTCCTCTGTCTCGTAGGTGCATTCGGGGAATGGGCATTTGTATTTCTTCGACATTGCGTACTATTGTAGTCCGGGAAGAAAACAAAGATGGCGGTCGATCGGCGATCGATGGCCGCGTTCTCCTCTGTTCGACGTATTACTGGGTAGTCCGCTTGCAACCGGTGTCTCGTTCGCCAGATCAATCCGTGTTGAAGTATGTTTCTATCATAGATAAGACTTTGTCTATTTCATCGAGAGATTTATCCTAGAAAGGCGAGCATCCTCGTAAGAGAATGATAGAAACATGTGCAAAGTACAGCTTGTTACAAGTGGCTCGCGCCAGGCACCTATCGGGCAAATCATAACTAGTGTCCAGATCTCTCATCTAATGTTGCGTTGTGCTCTAGTAGAGTCTCTAAAATCTCTGGTATGAAAGGCTGATCTCTTAAGGAGATAGTTCTCTAATTGCTGTGGGCAATTTATATTATGTATAATCTTAAAAACAAGATTAAGTCTTAGGAATCTACGTCTACTCTCCAATGATAATAAGGAAAGCTTACTACGCATTTCTTGAGAACATGTATTACGATTTGTAGAGAGGATAGTATGCATGGCCTGATTTTGTAACCTTTCTAAACGCTGTGAGTTGTTCTTTCCACAGTCCCCCTATACAACACAGCCATAGTCTACTATAGGTAATATCGTTTGTTTATAGATATTTAAAAGCACCCACAAAGTAAGATCTCCATGTACACCTCAGTAGTCTTTTTAGGTAATAAATCACTCTTATTATCACAAAAGAGATGTTTTCTATGAAAAATTACCAAGACCAAAGAATGGATATAACAAAAAATCCTATCTGAGTTTTTACAAGAAAGTGACAATGTGTAATGAAGACCCCATCAGATTTAACCTTTTAACTTTCAAGAGTGAAAATTTATCATTATAATAATATCAAAACGAAATCAAGGAGACAAGTGATGAGAATAAAGAAAAGTATGAATTAGGGGATTATTGGTTGATCCAGTAACAAATTCTCAAAACTAACATCATAGGAATTTTAGGGTAGAAAGTAAGGAGAATTGCTAATGAGATCTCGGGAGTGTAATGGTTGAAAGAATCTACTCTTTGACTCAATCAACTTTCATTTTATTTCAAAAGAATATGACAAAGGAAATATTTTAGCTTCAGACAAGTTAAAGAATCCTTCATATAAACACTCAAGCACTTTGAGGAGAAATATAACCCCCAATTATTCTCAGACAAAGCCAAAGTCCTAAAAGTTAGATAAGTGACAATGTATGATGAACACCCTGATCATCCTCATCATCATCAAATTTGAAGTACATACAGCAAAGGAAATGTCTCAGGTCAAGGAGAGTTCAAGAATCCTTTAGATGAACAGTCAAACACTTAAAGGAAAGATTTCCCTATAACCCCATACTTTAAAGATGTAGTCCTAAAATCAGTGCACTGTTTATGCCAATGTTTCTATGTTCTTATAACTGTGTGTATAATGATCTATGGGTTACACAGAAATCTTGCCTACTCTGACACAGAGCAACACATGTACAGATGACTGGCCTCAATTCAAATCATTTCAAACCTCATAATTGTTTGGCCATGTGAGACCTTGAGTTCTCAAGGTTGCATATATATCATGCATAGGCTGTCCCAGCGAAATTGGACTAGTTTTACCCTTTAACTCCTATGAGTGACCAAGACAGAATTTCTCCTTACAATATCAGTACAATATCAAGCAGACAAGTGATGAGAATAAAGAAAAATAACAATTTGGGAATTACTGGTTGATCCAATACCAAATTCTCCAAACTTTCATCACAAGAACTATATGAAATTTTAAATTTGCGTAATATTCCCACAAATTATATATCAAATTGTTCCATACACTCGAGACTTACTACCTATCAAGTTTTTTTCCAGCTGCAGCAAAATGTACAGCGAACCGATTAAACGACGTACATGATTAGTGCCAGTACAGGCATAAATGGGGTAAGTTTAGCGCATATATCTCCTAAACAAGCGAGATGACCTATCTCTCTTATTTTATTTTTCGAAACAGACATTGGTAAGGAACATTTAAGGAAAGTTTACAAAAAATTGTCCAATAACTTCTTTTCTGAGGAATCACCTTGAAGGTAGTTAAATAATTAAATCAAGTGAAATCAATTTCAGAAGTCGTATGTTGTCACTCCAGTCATTTGTAATAGGCCATCTTATTATTCATCCATGACATTAGGTCATCTACTGAAAAAATTAAGCAAGAAAGTACAACGTGTACCTAGATTGAAACACTATAACTTTTAATATTCAGAGCTGTACACAGAAACTTACTTTCTTACCTCATTCTGGAACAATTCTGTTAGAAAGGGAATGTGCCTGAAAAAGTGTTTAGAGAAAAGTGTTTACCAGATGACATCGTACAGAAGATTATCCTGAATTAAGCCGTTTTGAAAATTCGAACTGGTCGAGGTTACAACGAAATTGCTGCGTAAGAAAACAAGATATGGCTTTATTTTAGAATCCAGTTTCCTCACGGCATGTTTCAGGAAAGGATTGCACTGGACTGGATCCAGATCTGTTCAGATATGTCTTCTGAGGCCCGTGAGAGGAGCATTTTTAATATAAAGATTGCCAGTACTCTGAAATACCATAAAATCACAAGAATGTAGGTTTTGGTTGAAATTTTAACTTTCTGTTTTGATAGCAGGTAGAAAGTATTCATTTCAAGGTATCACGGAAGTTAAATGCGCTGTGAGAGATTATTCAGCGTTAATTGATTTCCGGTTGATTTTTTGCGATAAGTGACAGATGATTGAACAATAGGATCATATAATATATTTAAAATGAGAGAGACCATAGCGTGAGACAAAAAAACGGTGAGAGAGAGAGGGAGATCAAGTCGATTTTATAAATAAAACGTGAAGTTTCGGAACATAGCAGATTCTTTTGTCTCATTTCCGACACAGTGGCACCTCTGACAGGACTCGCAAAGCATGGAGGAACTAACCAAAGAAGCAGAGGCTAAATTGCAGATGTTGCGGTACACTAATGGAAAAACACCTGGGATTGTGGAAAAGGGAAACCTAGGAGCGGTCGCGCGACATCGTGACAACTTACAAGCATTAGTAAAAGAAGTAGACGCGCTTAAACTAAGGGTTGAGCAGACCGTGTTCGAGGCCGGTGTCACAGCGGATTTGGACCGGGGGAATCCAAATCCGCTAGCGGATATGGACCCTCCTTCGCAGATTTGGACCCCCCTACCAAACTTTCCTTTTAAGCTTTTTTGTCGATGTTCTTTTCAATCACAACACAACATTTCCTCAATAAAGGCAAAAAAACAACAACAACAGCCATTTCGTTCCAATTCTACCGCATTCATTATAGCGAGTCGTACAGTATACGCAAGTATTAGATGTGAACAAACTACTGCATTCGAACTATTGAAATTATTACAATAAATCTTTGCTTCTTCTGATGCGAATCAACATTGGTACGAAACGTCATAACAATAGTGGAGACTATTGCGTCCAGTCACAAAAATAACTTAGTCTGATTTTCTAAAATAATAATATTAAACAGTTTTTGAACAGGAACGAAGAAACTACTCGTATCACAAGTCGTTCGTAAAGCCTATGAGAAGTAAAAATGTTTCTATTCTGAACTTTTGAAACTCTCAGCTTATTCTCAGATGCAAAGTTAATGTCAACGTCTTAACAAAAGTGGAGACTACTAAATCGAACTCAATCTTATTTTCTAATTTTAACGATTATTAACTGTTGAGGGATCCAAAATAACACCTTAACAATTACGAAGACGTCTAGAGTCTGGCAATCTGCAGACAATGCAGAGCCACTCGTCCTCCGAGGCAGTCTTAAATCCCTCGCACTGTACCATGTCGTCCCCAAACTCGGGCATTGAACAATGAAAAAATAAATTAGTGTCACAAGTTTGTTTCTCATTGAATCTAACGGTGTTCGACTATCGCGGAAAAGGTTCAAAAACGACCTCTCTCCAAACATTAAACTAAATTCTTGCCCATTTTCCCTTGGTCAAAAGAAACATCCGACGGGATGCCAGTTCGTATGCATTAACGATACGCATGTTTTGAATTGAAAACATACTTTAGTACGCTCTGGAACGTAAAGTATCATCCATTTGTACTAGAACGTTAAGGATGATGTTTTCACTCAGTTTTGTTGAGGGGTCCAAATCCGCGGGCGGAATTGGACGGGGGGGTGCAAATCTTGGGGGTCCAAATCCGCTGGGACACCGGAAAAAGTGCAGAAGACGTTGGAAGTTGGAGCAGCAGCATTGAAGAACCAATCGCTGAAGCTGACGAAGAAGTTTCGCGACTGGAAAAATGGCTCATGGAGACGAATGAAGAGATCGAACATCGAAAGCAAAAGGAAGAAGAACAAAGGAAAGGCCGTGCTCGTTAATAAGAGCTTAAATTCGAAAGAGAGAAAACGGAGATGAAGCTAGAATTCGAACGCCAAGTGGAAGAGACCAAGGCAAAACAGCAACCTGTTGAGAAGGCTAATCAGAGTGAACAAAGGAAGACAAAGCCACCGAAACTACAGATCACAAAGTTTAATGGGACGTATGAAGCATGGCTGCCGTTCTGGAACAAATTTCAAGCTGAAATGGACAAAGGAAACCTTGCATCTGTCACCAAGTTTGCATACCTAAAAGAGCTGGTAGATGCAAAGGTTCGAGCAGAGATAGACGGACTGCCTTTCACAACAGAGGTCTACGAGAGGGCAAAGAATATCCTCATCGGCGAATATGGGAAAACACGTGAGATCGTAAATGCGTAAGTCCAGAACATCGCAAATTTGCCTATCATTACAGGAACACAACCTGTGCCTATCCACGAATTTTACAACAAGCTCGTGTACAATGAGCAATCTTTGGAGACACTGAGCAAATTGAAAAATGTGACTGGAAATGCAAGGAGTGTGCTAGACAAACTAAAGGGTGTAAAAGCAGATCTAGTAAAAAGACAAATTTACTGGCAGGACTGAAACTTCCCACGGTTGATAAAAGCTTTGAAAAGTTGGAAGGAAATTAACCCAAGTGTGAGCGGCACGGATAATGCAGGGAAGCAAGGTGCTAAATTCCGCGCTCGCGAAAAAACATTTCATGCAAACGAAACAACGCCAACACAAAGAGGGTGTGTCTACTGTGACGCAACTGACCACAAAGCTGTAAATTGTAACAAGTTTGTGACAGCTGCAGATCGCAGGAAGTAACTAGGTCTGAAACAACTGTGTTTTAATTGCACAGGAAGTCGACACCGCGCTGCTGAGTGCAAATGCCGTTCTGGCGGCCAGATCTGCAGGAAACCGTTTACGAAGAGTTCAAAGAGAAACTAACCAAGAGTTCAGAAGGCTGGTACGAGACAAGCCTGCCCTGGAAAGCCTGGGAAACCATCCTCCCCTACCGAACAATTACATTGAAAGTTTAAAACGTCTCAAAAATCTTGTGCGGAAGTTAGAAATGCAAGGTGAGCTGGAGAGGTACAACGACATTATCCAGACTCAATTGAGTCAAGAGATTGTAGAACGCGCTGACGAGGTGGTCAAGGACGGAAGAGAGTTCTACAATTCTCATAAAGCGGTCTTGCGCGAGTACGCAGAATTTACAAAGATACGCACTGTTTATGATGCTTCTGCAAGAGCAAATGCAAGTGTCCCCTCACTCAACGAGTGTCTCGAAATCGGCCCTCCACTACAGGACCAGCTTTGGAGCGTGCTGATACGAAATAGGTTCTATCCCGTGGCAACAGCTGGCGACTTAAAACAAGCATTCTTGCAAATTCGCGTCCGATGAGAAGACCGAGATGTCTTACACTTTCATTGGATAAAGGATCTTGCAAGCAAATGGGTAGAAACCTTGCGATTCACTCAAGTACTCTTTGGTTTGGCACCATCTCCATTCCTCTTGGCCTCAGTTGTCAAAGAACATCTACAGCGATACAAAATGGTGAACCCGGAACTAGTGGAGGAGATAGAGCGCAGTATGTACGTAGGTGATTTAATCAGTGGCGGGGAGACAACAAAACAAGCGTTAGAAATCAAGATGACAGCCACAACAATCTTTGGTGAGGCGACTTTCAAGCTGCACAAGCGGCATTCCAACAATCGGGAGTTAGAAGTTGAAACTGCGACTTCAGATGAAGAAAGTCAGGGTTACGCCAAACAACAACTGGGAACCAGAAAGAGCGAATCAAAACTGCTGGGAGTCCCCTGGGACAAAGAAAAGGACGAAATTCAAGTCAGCTTCCCGATTTTGTTAAACGATAAAAATACAACTATATTTAATCTGAAATATCGTAAGAGTTTCCTTATATTGGTGTTGAGGAAAGGACTGGAAATATTGTATTACTTTAAACCATTCCTGCAAAAAAATTATAAAAAGGCAGGTTGATTACTTCTTATTCCTTTTGCAAGCCTTATCTTAAAGGTAGAGTTTGGTCACGTTTTGTTGTTGAAGTTGAAGTTACTTCCAACAATTTCAACCGCTGAGCCGACAAAAAGGGGCATCCTGGGAAAAGTCGCAAAAATCTACGATCCACTCGGTCTGGCTTCACCAGTGACCCTCTCTGGAAAAATGCTCTTCAGAGATGCGTGCGACACGAAGTTCGCGTGGGATAGCCCCATACCAAGTGACTTACAAGCCAAATGGAAGAAATGGGAGCAAGGACTTCCAGAGCACGTGAACGCGCTAAGAAATGTCGTGAAGCATGTAAGGAAGATTTTATTAATCGACTTACGCACAGAGGGGAGCACCCCATTCGAGGTTATCGGAGTTGATTTTGCAGGGCCCATCAAGCACCGTATCAGAGCAAAAACAGAAGGAAAGGCCTATCTTGCATTGTGCGCATGCAGTCTTACACGAGGATTACTCCTGGAAGTACTACCAAACCTAGCGACCAGTGAATTCCTAAGAAGTTTAAAACGGCTCATTGCGCGCCGTGGGCGTCCGGAGAAGATATATTCCGACAATGGCAAAACCTTTGTTGGCGCCGAGAAGTGGCTCAAACAAGTTATGCGTGACAAGAGGACACAAGACTACTTAGCACATGAGAACATCAAGTGACAATTCAACCTCAGCTGCGCCGCTTGATGGGGAGGCAAGTTCGAGCGCCTCATCGGACTGGTCAAAACAGCTTTAAACAAGACTATTGGATGCGGAATGTTGACCTGGACGGAGCTGTGTGAAGTGGTACTGGATGTGGAGATTGCTTTGAATAATCGCCCTTCATGTTACGTCGAAGGCAATATACAGTTATCCGTGCTTACCCCTAACTCACTGCTATTTCTTCGATCAAACCGGCTACCAGAACTGGAACCACACCATCTAAGAGAATTTCATCTGCGCAGAAGAGCTAAATATCTGCGAAGGTACAACAGGCTTTGTGGACCAGGTGGATTACCGAATATTTACGAGGGTTGAGAGAACGACACCGGATGAAAACACAAGGGTCAAACCACGCCCTTGGCCAAAGGAGAGGTGGTCGTCATCAAGGACGAGGAACGAAATCGCAATAAATGGAAAATTAGAATCGTGGATGACCTGATTTCGGGACGAGACGGAATCGTTCGAGCTGCAAAACTTCGAGCGGGGAAAGGAACACTCGAACGGGCAGTACAACACCTTTACCCACTGGAGCTGTCCTGCGATCGGGAGAATGTAAAGGCTCCTCCGCAACTCAACCCCGAGGCCCCGAAATTCAAGCCCAGGAGGGATGCAGCGGTAGCCACTCGTTGTCGCATTCAAGACGCGAACATTGATGCTGATTAGAGATATTTAGGAACACTGAACTGATATACTGGACTAACTTTCCGTTTCGTTCATTGAATTTCAAATTTTATCGAGTGTGCCATTCTAGTGTTTTTCCCCTGTTAAAAAAAAACAGGGGAGTGTGTGAGAGATTCAGCGTTAATTGATTTCCGGTTGATTTTTTGCGATAAGTGACAGATGATTAAACAATAGGATCATATTATATATTAAAAATGAGAGAGATCAGAGCGTGAGACAAAAAAACGGTGAGAGAGAGAGAGGGAGATCAAGTCGATTTTATAAATGAAACGTGAAGTTTCGGAACATAGCAGATTCTTTAGTCTCATTTCCGACAGCACGTCTTCATGCAAACTGAAATAGCATGCAAATTACTCACGCTATCCTTATAATAATATACATTTTCTAACGCTTAATAAACAGCTATTTCAGATATTTTAATATGGTGTTAAGTGCAGAGGGGTTAATGATCGAATAGCTCTTGTCGATGCCAAAACCATGAAAAAGGGAGGACTTAGTTGGGACAAAGTTTGCACATTGGTCAATTGACAGGCCGAGGACTGGGCAGAAAATTCATAGAATAGGTACATGCATTACACATGCATCAAATGTATTTTTTATACAAAGCCAATCATCTTAGTTGTGACGTCAAACTCTCCGACTGTTGTTCCGTTACCAACTCGCGCACTCTAAGGAATCTGTTTCGATCGACTGTAACGTCAGTATAACTTGCATTAATAGGAATCTCTTTCAGTTGATTGTTACGTCGGTATCACTCGCACTCTAAGGGTAACCGGTCAAGTCGCCCGAAAGTCATCTCGCCCGAAGTCATGTCGCCCGGAACCAGAGTCATGTTGGCCGAAATTCATAGTCATGTCGCCCGAAATTTTATCGAGTGTTTAATCTTGAAGAAAAGTAACAATCGCAAGGAATAAACTCGTAAAATGTTTTCGTCCGCCAACCTATGCAAATATGAAGTAAAACAACGACTCAAATATCGCTGTTCATTTCAGCGTTGTTCGTTGCTATGAACTAAACTGCTTATTCTACAGTAAATATTGAAGAAAAGTAAAAATCGCAAGGAATAAACTCGTAAAATGTTTTCGTCCGCTAACCTATGCCAATATGAAGTAAAACAAAGACTCAAATATCGTTGTTCATTTCAGCGTTGTTCGTTGCTATGAACTAAACTGCTCATTCTATAGTACAGATTCTAGTAATTAGAAGCGGAACACTTTCAGTTATCAGAATTTTTCACACATACCAGAAAAATACATCAAGTTCTCTTAGTTTGATTTATCGTATAAAAAACTTCCTGAAACTTTTACAGCGGTTTTTTTTGTTTATTGTTAACCACGCGAAAAAAGCGTGTTAGCATCATTCCCTTTAGGATCAGACGCGGTATAAATAATCGTGACTTGCTCAGTTCTTCCTTGTGTCCTCGGCCGGTCGCACGTAAATTTTTATCCGGTTGTCCATTTATAAAGAGGGTAAATTAATAACAGCCACCTCATTCCGAGGAATGGAATAGTTTATTTTGTCACGATTAAAAAAAAAATCAGATATGTAACAAGTATTTTTTTTCATAACG